CTTGCAGGCACCCTCAAGCACTGGAGACTATGAAGCAAGTCTCCTTCATGGGGGTGAGGGCCAAGCCTGAGAGGGAAGGACATGGCCCATATGGCACGGTCCCTGCAAGGGCTGGGTTTGTAAGCTCTTACGAGGACCACTGCATGGGGATTTCAGGCATCATGCTAGAAGGGATTTAGAATTGTCCTTTGAGATCACAACATAAAGGTGGCTTAATCAGTACCCCAGGATGGCGAAGAGTGTACATAGAGCTCAATTTTATTTAAATAACTTAGCAGTGAGGATCTGACAAGTAAAGTCTACCGCCTCTGCATGGCCCTAAACATGAGGATACCCTGAGCATTAAACACCCAAGTCAGATGGGACTCATTTTCAGTCTCTCTAAAGCCACAATGTGATTCCAATTTCAACTTAAAAATTCACAATTACCTGTTGTTCCTCCACCTAAACAGCTGCAGCATTTCACTCCTGACAACACATATTCCCAATCATGTTAGTTAAATATCCCAGCCCATCCAGAGGGAGCTTTGAAGGAGACACGTCAGCTAGGGTGGGCTTTTTTGGAGTCCTGAGGAAGCAATAAACTAAAGTTGCTTGGTGAGACAAGAAAGAATCTTTTTACAGGGTATTATCTCTGTGTGCTCTGCTCTACACTGTTTTCATAACAAAGCACAGAAACAAATAATAACAGAGGCTTCTCTATCTTTCCCTCCACAGGAAGATGGCCTGAGGGGACCACTGCACTAGTTACCGCAACTGCATGCTGAACGCCCTAAATGCTCTTTCCCGAAAACGGCTAAGAGAAAAAGGTTCAGTGATCGGATTAGGCTTTCTACAACAAACCCCTGAGGAACAGAATATGTAAAGGAGAATTTGGACAGAAAAGAAGACTCCCAACAAGTGCATGGCATGTAGCCTCGGGCGATGGTTTCTACATCTTTCAGCATCTCAGCTACTTCAGTTCCCTGGCTCTGGTGGGGAGGGGGTGGAGGGTAATCTCTCCAACACTAGATGGCACCATAATCTTAAAACACAGAAAGCTGGTTGCCTTTTCTTGAGAGACAGGTATGCCGCCTACCTTGCAGGGAAAGTCAGTCGGGGGAGCTATAAAAATACCTACTCAAGCATTTCCCACTGCTGGTGTCCTGTGAGGTGCCCCTTATGAGGGGGTGTGGTGGTCAGATCTATTTGGGAGAAACCATGTGCTTTATCTGCCTCTAAGGAGGCTCCCAGTGCACACTGGTAACAGATGTTTTTGAGAAATTTTTCAGTGCAGAAACTTGGTGCCAGGGAACCCCTTCTCTTGGCAGCAACCTAATGCAACCCTGCTGCTTCACACTTTGGGAAATGCTGATCTAGTCCGAGCCTTGTCCCAAAGAAGGAATGGCCCAGATACCTAAAGAGGCCTCCCTGCTACATGGTTATCCGATACTCTTTTAAAAAGTCAGACACATTTGTAATGCAGAGTTGTGAGTAGAGAGAGCAGCACTGACTACTTACACTAGGACGTGCTTTATTCTAAGTGTTTAGTCTCCTCTCTTTCCTCAGAATGACATCTATATCCATATCCATGTCCATGTCCATATCCATATATCTATATCTATATCATCATCTATATTATCTATCTGTGCACTCACACCCATTAGATATATAGATATATCTGCTTTTAGGCTGTGAACATTTTGAGTGTATTTATCTCATTCATCTCTGAGATTTCAAGTCCTGGTACAGAACCTGGCATACAGTTAAGCCATTAGTAAAAGAAATAATCTGGGAAGATTCTATAGTCTGTGTGGGAGATAATTCTGGAACATAGGAATGGACATTATGCCCCTGATCAGAAAGGTAATTGCCTTTTATATAAGCCTCTTCTCTGTAAAGATCAATTGAGAGCAGAGACCTAGCCTCCAGTTCTCTTCCCTGGGGATTCTATTTTTTCTTCTCTCCACTATGTTACTGTTAGTGTAACTTGTTAGCAATTAACCATACATGACCTAGTAATATGTGTTGACTTTGTATTTAACGCAATTACTATTTAGAGTTTTTGTTCTTGCATTTCCCAGGAAGGCATAGCTTGTTCTGATATGGCCAGTGTAAGCCGTAGATGCAGAATGCTTTTCCTCCACAGTCCATTGTTAATCATTCTATTCGGACAGTTTTCTTCTCATATTGTAATATTTGAGCTTCTCAAGCCTGCTTATTCTTGTCTTGCAGTGTTAACCAATGAAATTCCAGGACTGAGCTTTGAACGAGCTACTTTCTAGCTCCAGTTTAAATAAATGTTCCCAAGCTTAAAAGGAGAAATGTTCTCTCTTCCTTTCCATTTGCAAAAAGGCAGGTGCCAGTATGATCATTGTACTACTCCTTGCACATGATTTACATAAAAAAGGGCATCTCTGAACTTCAGAGACTGTTGTTTTGTTCTGTCAGTTGTAATCTCTAAGAAGACTATGTAATTCCAATTGGTTGCCTTACTTACTATGGCAATAATATTTAAATAGATACAACTACTTTTGAAAGTAGAAATGCTTGTGAGTTTTCTTCATTGTGCCATAAGAAGATTATTAGCTCATCCCTTTTCCTACCACACGCATAAAGGCTACAATGAATAAAACCTATGGCTTAGTGGATTTCTCACTTAACAGAGTTAAAGACTCTAATGTCATCTCCATGCCTCAGTTTTCTGCATCATTAAAATGAGCATAGCCCGGGCGGGTGTGGCCCAGCGGTTGAGCATCGACCTAGGATCCAGGCGATCAGGGTTCGATTCCCGGTCAGGGCACATGCCCGGGTTGCGGGCTCCATCCCCAGTCGGGGGCGTGCAGGAGGCAGCCGATCAATGATTCTCTCATCATTGATGTTTCTCTCTCTCTCTCCCTCTCCCTTCCTCTCTCTGAAATCAATACAGATATATTAAAAAAAAAAAAAAGAGCATAATAAGGCCTAGGGCTATTATAAGGTTAAATTAGTTATAATAGTGACCAGCTGAAAATTACCACTTAAATATTAGCTCTTCCTTGTTCTGTGTGCTCCTGAGTGTGGTGTGTGCACAGAGCACTGTGTACTAAGAAGCTGCGGAATGAGACCATTCACGGGTTTTGAAGAGAGATTGGGCTGTGGGAGAAAAACACACTGATTTGGGATAAGGAGACTTGATTTTGAGGTCACATCACGTTCAGTAGCTGTGGCGCTTTGAATGAATCATTTAGCCTTTCTGAGTCCCCTTTCCCTGATGTGGAAAGTGAGAGTAACAATAACCTGTCTTGAACATTAGAATTCCTTGTAAGATCCCCCAAATTAATGCGTGTGAAAGTGCCTTCCGTCCGGGAAAACACTGTGACGATGTGAATGCTGATCGTAATAAAAGGACAGAGTGGACCCCAGTGTACAGATTTTGACCCAGGAAGATGGGGATATATTAGTATGTTCTAGATACAATTTTTAGAGTCAGTCTCTCAGGCTATAGTGACTTTCTAAAGCATCATCATATTTATTCAATACTTTTTCACCCAACAAACATTTTTTTTGAGAGACTGCTATGTGCCAGGCACTCTGCTAAATGTCAAGGATACAAAATCATTTAAGATAGGGAATTTGCTTTCAGGGAGCTTTTGCCACTTGGTAGAGAAAGAAAGATGTAAGTAAATAAGGTTTAATAGTGGAGAGGAAACCTTACAGTTATATCTTATATATCATTTAAGTACAGAAGAAGTGGGTGGGGGAAGTTGTTAAAGGGGGGATGTTCTGCTCTTGGATGGCAGAACAAGGCTGGGGCCTTTCCTTTTTCCTTCCATGCTCAATCCTTCCAGACACCTGCTAGCTGATGAGTGAGCAGAGGCACGTGGGTGTGGGACAACCACAGGAGCACATAAGGCAAGGTCACCAGACACTTTACCCAGGCCCAAGTGATAGTGTTATATAGGTAAACCATGTGTGTGTGTGGGGGGTGGTGGTGGTGGAACAATGGCTGACAAATATAAGGTTGCCGGGAAATTCTAGCTATAAGCCATAGCTACAAAACAAAGGCAACATTTCCTAAGTACACAATAAAAACCACAAAGTAAGTGCTTCACTGAGTTATATGAACCATAACCTCAGTCATAAGAACGAAGATTCTTATTAATTCCCCATTATTTGCATGATCACCAAAGTTTCAGTACAGACACGAACACTCACAATGGACTTAACCACCTATCGTAAAGTTTATACCAGGCAGATAGCTTAATGCAGTGGAAAGAAGCAGTCAATAAATATCTGAATAAGAGGAAGGAAGTGGGGAAGAAAGGAGGGAGAAAGGAAAGAGGGAAAAAAGGAAAAGAGGAAGAAAGAGCAAAAGGAGGGAGGGAAGACGTGATGGGTGTTAGGACGGAATGTTTAAACCCCAGCTCTGACTCTCTCAAGTCGCATAAACTTCGACAAGTTACTTAACCTCTCTGAACCTCATTCTCTTCATCTAAACACGGGGCAATACCTTTCAGGGTGATTGTGAGAATTAAAAATTACTTTTATAAAATTCTTGGTAAATAATAGGTGCTCAATAACTTGCTGCTGGAGATTCTCGCTTTTAGGTAAATGGCAATGCTGCTACCATTTACCAATGTCACCAAATTGTGGACAGCATTATGTTATGCATTTCCTTACATGGTTGTGTGCAAAGAACCATACACATTAAAAAAGTGCAGTTTTTAGAATAGGGTCATGGATTTGGGGGAAAAAATTGCATTTAAAAAAATAAGTAATATACTTCAAAGAGGCTTGCTTCTCAATGGTCGATGCGATATACATATGCCTCAGAAAACTGAAATGAAAACACTAGCACTTTTACTTGTATCTAAGGAGATGACAAACATCAAGTACCCGAACACCATTTAAACTGTAACACGCACCCGAGGCCATAATAATCTCATCATTTTCCTTTGTCATTAAGGTGCATTTGGAGTCATCACTGAAAGTGAATTTTTCATGAGTGGTGGGAATGAAGATTAAGGAGAAATACTCACGGATAGGATCTGGTCTCCTCGCTGGAGCTCCCCACTCAGGTCTGCTGGTCCGCCGGCCAGAATGAAGGAGACAAAAATGCCCTCTCCGTCTTCTCCACCCACGATGTTGAAGCCCAGGCCAGTGGAGCCTTTGTGCAGGACCACCTTGCGGGGCTCCCTGCAGAAACAAGCAGAGGACACAGCTCACGGGGTGACCCAATCAGGATTTAGATTGCTTGGACTTTCACTGGGATATATGACACCAGCAACTCACTACCTATGAAAATGGCTCCCCAAAGTAAGATCGATCTGCACAGCAAGAAAGATGCTACCATCAGGGAAAGTGCTGGATTCCTCACTGTCACAAGTGCCAAAACGCCATGCAAAGCCATTTCTTAATTCCAAAACATTTCCCTAAACTAGCTTTACTCCCACTTTACCTTTGTTTAAAACATCTGTTCTTGAATGGAGCACCAAATGCTACTTGGTAGGATGGATGTATCCAAAAAGAGGGTGAAATCTTGGGGGGCAAGAAACTAGATTGAATAGGCCAGACATGAATGATCTTATAGAGCTAATTACTCTGTAGGCAGTGTGGACCCAATGGAAGACTCTGAGGTACCAAGGATATGTAAATCCATTTTAGAAAGATTAAGCAATTGTTGTATATAGGACTGATGGGGAGGGGCACAAAAGTGTGATGGGAGGCAGGGAAATCAGTTAGGATGTTGACCAAGTAATCCAGGTTCCAGGAAGTGACCATCTAAACAAGGGGGACGGCAGTGACAATGAAAAAAACAGAACAAAAACAACATGAGAGGAAATTTGGAGGAAGAAATGGTGGGCTCAGACAAGTACTCAGGCAGTAAGAACATCTAAGTGAATCACAAAAGGGGGAGGGGAGTGGAATCTAGGGTCATGAAGGTGACTCTGATTATGACACGTTAAGTTTCAGGTAATGGTGGAATATCCACGTGGATATGTTTGGAAGTAGCTGGACCCAAATGACAGGGGTCCTTAGTGAGGACTGTAAATGCAGAGTCTAGAGCATGATCTATTCCAGAGACTGCAAATCAGCAAATGGAAGGCTTAATCTGACCTATAGTGTTTACAAACTTTTGTATTAGTTGCTCATATTTAAAATTAGAAAAAATTTGTCTAAAATATGGACTTATGGCTTCATATGGAATCAGACATTCTACCAACACTGGCTCTCAATCTTGCTGCATAGCAACAATTGGCTAGAGCAGGGTCCTCTATAGATGGGGCACTTACTCTCCGGTTTGCCATCATCCAACCTCTTTTTCATGTTTCTTAGACAAAAAAGCTGTCAGTTCCATCACATGTGCGCTTCTTGCAAAGTTAAGAAGAAAGCGAAGCATCTTGTACTGATGCTTCTATCAAAAATGGGAAAGTGAAGTTTTATGGTATTTTTAAAAATGGGAAAGAATATCATTCCTTTGGAAGTAAGAATTATCCTTATGTGTTTAATATGCAAAGGGACTCTGCAGAAATAATATAGCTTTAAAAGATCATTGTGAAACATCACTCCCCATAACTTCTCTATGTGCAAAGAGACTCTCTGCAGAGAGAATATAGCTTTAAAAGATAATTGTGAAACATCACCCCCCATAACTTCTTTATGTGCACTTCTCAAAGTGCAGAGTTCACTCATAAAATGCTCCCACATTTTATGAGTGATCTCTGCACTTTGCTATATTGCTTCCTATTTGTAAGGACACAACACATGTCATGCTTGAGTGACAGAGAGTAGGTTTTACTTAATTTACCTGGACCTCATTTATTTCAAATGATCTGAACAAGTCTTTAAATCAAATTATTTGGAATTTTCTGAACTTGTGAGATTTAAATGTCTTAAAAAGACATTTTAAAAAATTCATTTTTTATTTTTTATATTGCAGTGAATTATGATGCTTATTTTAATAATGGGGAGAAATAAATCTGTAAAATAGTATGCAAATAAAATGTCCTAAACACACACCAAATGATTTACTTTTTCTAATTTAAATTCCTTACACTGAGGACTGATCATTTATGCAAATATCTTTCCCTTTTCTAGATCATTGAAAACAATTTTTTATTGATTTTTAGAGAGAGAGAGAGAAGGGACAGGAGAGAGAGTGAAAGACAGAGAGAGAGAGAGAAACATCGATGTTAGAGCAAAACATTGATCTGCTACCTCCTACAGGCCTCCCACCAAGGATCAAGCTGGCAACCAGGCACGTGCCATGACTGGGAATCGAACAGGCAACCTTTCAGTGTATGGGATGACACCCAACCAATTTAGCCACACGGGCCAGGGCCCTTTTTACTAGATTTTTAATCAGGGATGGCAAAAAATCTAAAGTTTACAGGGATAGGGCATGTAACGCGAATGAGTGAAGCAGGCTGAGTAGGGATGGTAGTAAACTGGGGAATATAATCCATTTAAAGGGCTGCTTCTGCTGAATTCTGGACCATTACTCCAAGTAGGAACACCAACTAGTATTGCCAGATTCTCCAATTTCTAAAGGTATTTGAAGAATCTAGATTTTTAAGTAAATTTTCCAGAATTTTAAGTTGACAATGATAAAAACAATTAAAGGTATGGTGTTGTATCCAACATGCCAGCAGTGGGTCTGGCTATGGGCTGCCAGTGGGCCTCTGCACTGTGGGCACTCTGACAACTCATCCAATGTCTCCTGCATGCTTGTCTCCTCCATGGTGCTCAGCATGGGACTTGCTCACAGTAAGCCTTGGTAACTTTAAGTTGATTTAGTGTTACATTCTCAGCCCCACCTCTGTCCTTTCCTTTTCAAGTCTCTCATGTGGAATATTCTTTTCTTTGATCTTATTTTTCCCCCCTTTTGCCTTATTTTCCTCTTTTTTATATTAGACCTGTTCAAGGTCTACTTTCTTCATGATGTCCCATTCCCAAATATTTTGAGCTACAGCTGCACTTCTGTATGCTTATTGCCTGGACCAATGACTTTGGGTCTGGTAAATATAATGCCCTACATTTCCAAGAGCTGTTTTGTGTGTGAGGTCATGGTAGCCTCTGGTGAGATTATAACCTCCTGAAGATACAGTTTCATGCTTTATACTTCCACATATCCCTAATACACCTAGAAGGCTGCTCAATAAACAGCTGATGATTGAATAAATGAGTGTATGACACCAATTTATAAAGAACAGCAATACTTTTCTTACTGAAATGATCTGGGTTCCAATTTACTATGTCATTTGTCATCCAGAATTTGGATGACTTAGGGGACCATTACCAGTCATTATTATATATCATAACACAGACTGTGGAACAAAATTCTCTCACTCTTCATTCAGGATGGAGCTCAAGGATGATGATTTTTCTGGAAGCCATCCCTGACACTCTCCTTAATCTTCCCATTGTAGTCTGAGTTGATGCCTCTTCTAACATTCCTCCCATGTATCTATCGTAATTCTTATTACACTGGGTTGGTTTACTTGTCTTGCTCTCCAGCTAGAGTGATCAACTAGGGAGCAGGGACCATATCATTTGCTTTTGTCTCCAATACCTGGTACATAGTAGGAACTAACTACTAATTTCAGTTTTCATATTAGATTTTAAGTATGGAACCTATAGAAGATGGTAACTGGTTACTCAGAATGAAATTAAAAAACACTTATCTATCCACTTAAAACATAAATTTATTCATCCATCCAACCTTTCAATACACAAGCATCTATGAAGTATCTACTTTGTGTCAGGTGTTGTGGATACAAAGATCACAGAGGCTGGGGTGAGAGGAGCCAAATGTGAACAGTTATAAAAGCCCAAGAATGGGACAAGTGCTCATTCAGAGACATGTGTGCAATAAGCTAAAGTAGCCAAGAACAATGAGCGACCAGTCTTCCTTTAAAAAAGATTTTCTTTTTCTTATCACCTGGATGAAATTGGCTACACTCATTTAAGCAGTTTTATTTTTCTTTCTAATGTGATGTAAAAAGCCTTTTTTAATTATAAAACCCTTGGATGCTGGACAATTGGAGAGATGCCAGTCTGACTTTGCTCCCAGCTGTGGCAGATCAGCAGCAGCATAATCTTGTTTAGCTGGAGTCTCGGAGGATGCTCTAAGCCAGCTGGGACGTTTTCAGGAGCAGGATGCTATGGGCTAATTCTTTATCCTTAAAACAGATGGCTTAAGAGGGTTCAAGATTAAAAAAGGGAAGCGACTACCTAGCCTGAAGGCTTCCTCGTGGCCATTAGTGGGATTTTCCTTGAGCTTGGAACCTCTGAGATCCGTGGAGTCACTCGGGTCAACTCACCAGACATACCACGGTGAGAGGCTGTGTGGTGCAATGGGAAATAAGCCATGAGAATGTTTCTAGTCGTTTTTCTAAAATATACATCTGAGCCTGTTATTCTCTTGCTCAAAAGCCTTCCAGGGATCTCCATGCCTCAGGATAAAGTCTAAACTTCTACGCATGGCATTCAGAGTTCTTCATCCTCTGACCTTCGCCCACCTCCCCAATGCCTCACTTTGCCGTGCTCCCTTGCTCCCCATGTTCCAGGCATGTGAAGTTGCCAGCCGCAGCTCCTCACCAGGCTGTTCCTTGTCTTAACGTATTTCTCAGACTGTTTCTCTTTGATTACAAGATGCTTCCCCCTGCTCTCCTCGTCTGTGTCCTGAGCTCCTACTGGGCCGTCAAGCCTGGAGCTGGGTGCCGCCTCCTCCCCCTGCAGCCCTTGCCTCTGGGCAAGCTGAGTCGCTCTCATTTGGACACACGTTGTCTTCACTGCTCACACCACTACCGTTGTCTCTGCTGTTCTGATATTACTTTGTTTACTCATCTCTATACTGTTAATCAGTATGGTCCTAAAAGATACCATGGTTCATGGGTTTTTGTAATTTTGGGAACTAGTACAGGCTGAGCTTATGAGAGACACACAAATACACAAAATATATTATATGAATTAAAAAAAAACAAGTGAGGGTTTGGATGAAATGATATTGAATTCTAATTCTGTCTCTCTAGGGATTTGTGAGAATCCATGGATGCTCTCTGTGGGGCAGGTTCTTTGCTTGGGCAATAACTTGGCAGGGAATTATGTTTGCCTCGTGGGGGAGTGATACAATTCAGGTAAGACAATGAGCTAAAAGCATCCAGAAAGCAAAAAATATTAAAGGAAAGTATACA